AGGTACCTACTGTAATTACCTAGATACCTACAACCTACAATACAACAAAATATCACAAAACGTCGCCGCGTCGTGGCCACAAAATTGTAAACTTTAGGTAGGTACGTCAGTACTAAGAAAACAATCTTGATGAGTCACTTGTCTTGATAAAAACTTAGTAACTAGAGTATATATAAAAAGTAAGAAGACAGGTAATTAAGTACTTTTGAAAACAATTTATAGGTAGGCAGAACTAATTACGATTAGGTATTATTTAAATATTATAAATGCAAAAGTTTGGATATTTGGATGGACGGATGAGTGGATGTATGTTAGTCAATCACGCCAGAACGGCTGAAGGGATCTGGATGATATTTTGCTCAGAGAGAGGTTATAGTCTGGAATTATTTTATTTTTAAAAAAAACGTTACCCCCACACTAGGATTTTCTCCTGTATCGTGGAGGCAGTTTACAAACATCCCGGAACAATTATTTGTAGGCCATACAAATACTTGTTCGATTGATTCGAACCAGCGGCTCCCAGTATAACAATTCATTGCTGAGCCACTGCGCCGCGGAGCTGTCAAATAACATATTATATGATACCGTTTATTCAGGTATTTCGTTCCCGTGGGATAATTTTCGAGTTACATACGTTCGAAGCCGAACTCTTGAGTGATCGCTGCATGACCACTCGGGGAAAACTAAACATAATAAAATAAGCAATATATATTAGGTATATAGAGCCACAGAGGTATAATATGAAGCGATAAAGCAGCACCTAATAATATCGCGGTTTCACCCGCGTCATCACGTGTCCGAGATGCGTGGCATGACATGACACCTAGTTCAAGCATTTTATAATTGCAATGAAATATTTTATTTGATAGTAATGTATGGAAAATTGTCATGAGTAATGGAATACTTTTATTTTATCTGTACGCATATTATGCGCGGTTTTTTCCAGTTTTAAAGAAAAACGTACACGATACATGAAAAGTGTGTAGGCAAGAAATAATTCTTGATGAATTTGCTATCAACCTCTTATACTTATTAATCAATTAAATTTAAACTTTCAAAATACCATAGCAACGTGAAATGAAAGAGTTCAGAAATAAAGATGTAACTAATCATTGTTACGCTCACCCGGGAGATAGATAAAAGTACTCAATTAATTTTGAATTTATTTTAGCTACTAGCTGTTCCCCGCGACTTCGTCCGCATTTAGTTTAGGGCGTTAATTTTGTTGCAAAGACACCTAATAATTTTTCTAAAATTTAAGCAGTCTAAGTTACTTCTTATAACATGAGCTATCTACTAGTGAAAGTCCCGTCAAAATCGGTCTGGCCGTTTTGGAAATTAACCGGCACAAACAGACTGACAGACATACAAAAATGTTAAAAATTGTGTTAATATTATAAGTACCGTATACAATTTCATACGCAATTAGTAAAAAGCTGTTATTTTGACATTACAAACAGGCACTTCAATTTTATTTGTGTAGATATAGATAACGATTGAACTAAAGGCTAACCTAACCTCGCTCATAGAAGCTTTCAATACTGGGTACTGGCTACTGGCTTCTCAGTTCGCACCGGGCTAGGGGTTATGCGTTGTATGCGCGCCAAGCCAAGTATTGAATTATTTTAATTTTACATTATCTCTTAAACTATGTACTATACCTATATAAACATGGTATAAAGAACGAAGTTTATCTTCATAAAATTGTCTTGATAATGAAGTAACTTTCGTTCGTAAGGTGCCTAATAATTAAATTTTACATATGGTATCGCGGACTTTTTTTTAGACGGAAGATCTATATTTTTCTAGAACATTGTATTTACGTATCCCGAACAATAACAGCGCCTTTTCTTCTGACTTCCTTAACAAATATAGGCTAGCTGAGATATATAGCCTAATGCTATATAGCCTATACTATTCAACATGAATCTGGCTATAATATACAAAAAAAAGATTTTTCAAATCGGACTGTTAGTTCCAGAGATTAGCACGTTTAAACAAACAAAAACACTCTTCTGCTTTATTATATTAGTATAGATGTTGCATCGTGTTCGTGTAACTTCGTTTTTATTCTTACGGCTCGGAACGCCGTACGAACAAGACATGCGTGAATACTAGTGTCGATATGCTCATCACTGATACTATCTCTGTCGGGCACTATGCCAGGTGAGACAGCGTGCTTTTTGGCCGCGCCCACCAGCGAGTTCGAGCCCGCGACTTGTGCCACCTTAAGTTTGTATCACATTCAATAAACAACTTTAAAAAAAATTGTGTATAAAATTGATAATCTTAAAACGAATTAACACGAATTGGTTAATATTTCAATCAGTCATAAAAGAGACGTACTTTAGTTTGGTAATTGATATCGCATTAGATTTCATGCTCTTGTTAATAATATTTCGTGGACGATAGTAATTATAGATGGCGGTGATGAATTATGTTTTAATGTTTAAATAATGGTTTGAAGTGGACTTTGATATGTAAAAGTGGTGCGATTTTGTGTATTAAATGTCTGCGCATGTGAACTATTAGTGGAAACTATGAAACAAGTGCTCTGATGGTGATGTGATTCTCAAAATAAGGTGTCTGTTTGCTTAGGTGCCTTGAGATACCATCGCCAATCGTCAGCTGTCTGCTGGCTCAAGTTGCCGACAAAATCTTCCAAGGGCTGCAGAATGTGACGCATCAACATATTGTGAAGCAGTATACTATGAAGGAGTGGGGAAATTACAATAAACCGAATAAAAATACTTAAGACTTGGCCTAAAGGTCTAGATACCAGGCCATAAACTCCAAAAATAAAATAGGTGCCCAATACTAAACGACACTCCGTTGTGCGCGCACGTTTAATTATTAAAGCGCATGCTGTGTCCATGGAAGTATGTGTTAATAAAATGTAAAAAGTTTGGAGCGTGGATGTTGTAACCGGCTTCTGAAGTATGCATCTGTAGTCCTGTGTAGATTACGATCGAACCCGGGATCGTCCGATTTGCAAGTTACTGCTAACTAAGCCACGGCTTTCACAAGATAAGACCTCGTAAACACTAAAGTCGTGTATCGATTATACGTGCTTCTGGCGCGTGCTCCATGAATGACCGCGCCGCCCCGACCAGTGTGTTCCGCGTATTTGCTTCATGGTTCCGCGGAACATTCCAAATGTTCGAAGTGTATCAACTAAGCGCGTCTGGCGCGCGCGGCAGCCGTTCGTGTTTGACCATTCAACCGTTCAACATGGATATCGGTCGTTTACGAGCAGCTGCCGCTTTCATAGTTCTCTCCATGCATCTTCTCTAAGCGCTTTATTATGATACAAGTGGTAAAATTTAAAAATTTTGTACAACCGACTCCAATATAAATAATTTATTATCGATTTTTTAAAAACCGCTTTCGTGCGATAAAATTTAAATGGGACCACCTAGGACAGCATCCAGCTCGAATCGTCGACGATCGAGTCCTTTCCGATCGGCTCGATTTATTGGCATTGCGAAGAGATGTTGCATCCCTTTGCATTTTCTTTCGCATTTACCACGGGGAGTGCTCTGAGGAATTGTTAGGATTAATCCCAGCCGCCAAATTGCACGAACGCACATCGCGGTAGAACTCCCGATACCATCCCCACCATCTGGATGATTGGCGGTCCAGCACTGTGCGATTTAGAAGATGTTTTCTTCCTCGCACGACTTCCTTGTGGGATCGATTACCATCAGCGATTTTTCCGGACCGATACGACTTAGGGACCTTCAAGAAAAGAGCCTACTCTTTTTTAAAAGGCCGGCAACGCATCTGCAATTCTCCTGGTTCCCTTGGTGTTGCAGTTGTTCATGGGCGGCGGTAGTCACTTACCATCAGGTGAGCCGCATATTCATTTGCCCCCTCTCCTATAAAAAAAAAAAAACATTTCACATGGATCTTTTTGTTGTGTTCCAGTCTATTGTTTTAGTGTACAATATTCAATAGTACATTTGTCTGCCTCACTCATGTGTTTTCGGGATTTTGATGGTTCAGGAGTTTGTATTGATAAGTTTGAAGATTGTGGACTAGGAATATATAAACTAGCTGCTGGTGTTTCTTGTCTTACTTCCTTGGTCGATATAAAATAGGGTGCAGGAATTGCATAATTTAATTCCTCCCTCTCCCTTCCACCATCGAACGACCAAACGTTCGGCCAGTCTCCACCCTTTCGTTGTTGACTTACCACGCATTCTAACCAAACGGTTCGCTAAGTCGTTCATCATACGTACAGCAAAGGAGTGAAATAAGTTGCCAGCATCTGTTTCCATCCGAGTATAATGTGGGTGTCTTCAAGGCAAGAGTGAATAGGCTTTTGTTAAGTCAGTGCGCTTCACCATCTTAGGCTACATCACCACTTACCATCAGGTGAGATTGTAGATAAGCGCTGGCTTAGAATAATGTAAAATAAAGAAAAACAGAACATTCCTCAATCTGAGATTCATGTCAAAATCTACCATACGTGTTTCATTTTCTTGTACATGCATATTACCCTATTGAGGTCGGTTTTTTGTAAAAGGGTTTAGAAATTGAAAATACGGGCTTAAGTAGTACTCTTGTTTGGACCCAGCAGCAGAGCCACGTTTAGATTTTGTATTAAGAGCTCTTATGTAGGCTGAACGTATGGATTTCCATTTGAATTTACAATTTTCACCCCCAAAAAGCAATTTCATAGTTAAAATTAAAAAAATGTGTTACATACTTGGCAACTGGATATTCATTTCGAGCTATGTCTTATGTATTTAAAAGAGGCGAAACAACTAATGGAAAAATTATTGACGATACTCGTAGTCATTTGGAAAGTTTTACAACCAATCTACTTGAAAATGCCTACAACAAATGATTGGCTGGATATTTCAAATGCATTTCTAGAAAGGTGGAATTTACCTAATTGCATTGGAGCTGTAGACGGAAAACACATTAGAATAAAGAAGCCTAGAACATTTGGATCTTTGTACTTTAATTATAAAGAGCATTTTTCTATCCACCTTATGGCATGTGCTGATGGAAGTGGATCATTTACGAGTATCGATGTGGGCGATTATGGTAGGAATAATGATTCAGGAGTATTTAAAAATTCTAGACTAGGGCAAGCATTAAATAATAATATTTTAAATATACCTAAACTTTCTTATACCTATTCTTCTTTGAAGAATTCGGACGATCATTTCCTTATTATTTTGCAGCTGACGAAGGATTTCCGTTGTGTATCTACTGATATAATGCGCCCATACAATGGTAGATCTTTAAACAATAATCGTCGAATATTTAATTATCGACTTTCCCGTGGGCGAAAGAGTGCGTCTTCGTTATGATAGTATCTAAGTTTCGAGTTTTTGAAACTCCTATTTCATGTTCAGTCGAGAAAGCAGTCACAATTGTTAAAGCTACTTGTGTTTTACATAACATATTAAAACAATGATAAAATAATATTAAGTCCCGATCACGGAAATATACCTAGTGTTGATTACCGCCAATACCAATAACATAAATCTTGGGAGACCCAATAGCGATGCTACAGAATTTCGAGAATATTTGTGTATTTACTTCATAAAACCATACGGATTAGTGCCACGGCAAAATAATTACACGGTATAGGTACTTACCCCTTTCAATGAAATTTTCGCCGATCTTAGTCTATATCATTTCTGTAATCCGTCTGTTGATATACTCAGTGAGCGTGTGATTATATAAACTAGGGTATTTTCAACCTCTGCAATAAACTCAAAGTAAAATTCAATGTTGTCTTTCATTTTGTAAACCATGGCGCCACATAAAACGAACAAATTCGATCTTGAATTCGTGTGGCGTGGCAAATGTCTTGCCACAAACTGCACCTACTATAACTGTATCCTTAATGTACGGGCTTACATACAAATATACGCGGACGATAAATGTGGCGCTACAATTATTGTAATACAAATTTATCTCTGGTGTGCGACCTCACTAAAGGCGTCTTTCATTCTTGCGAACTAAACCTTCGTGTTTCTTATTTTAAGTATGCTGTTGCGTGTTACATATTCGTTTGTATTTAGGCTAAATCCATATTCCGTAATGACCATTCATTTGAGACGGCATCCAATCGCCTTCGACTTAGTGAATCGCCCGATGGTGTTAGGTGTCACGCGCGTCGCGGAGAGGGGGCATCGGTATGCAGCTTCCCAGCGTTTGGCGCTCGTGGGCGAAAACAGTAGCTTGAGAGCAGCGGTACGGTCAGTTCACGTATTTTGTAGTGACCGCTGCAGCGGTTTTTCGCGCGACCAGTTTTGGTTGTTGTGGTTTAAATTTTTAGTATTTGTGCGTGTTTAATTCGCTATTTAATTTGTGGTTCGTGAGGACCGCCTCGGATTAGGTTGTCTAAGTTGTACGGTCGTGACAAGAGGCTTGTATGGAATTTGACTGATTAAAGTAATTTCGTTTGAAAGTAATTGCGCCAATTATATAGTGATTGCGTGTTGAAGTGCATTTTGTAATATTTAACTTGCTTGTGTGACGTGGAATCTTGCGCGCGCGCCATGTAGAGATACGCTAGGTTGATTTTGAATTCTTATTGCGGCGTAGTATTTAATATAGTACGAAGGAATTTAGTTATTGTTTGTAACGCTGAACTTTGTGACTCGTGAAGAGATCGCGTTAGTTCCCTATTTGTAATTTGGTGATAAATGAATCCGGAACCTTGAATATTGAACTTTGAACTACTGTTCGTTACTTGTGTCGGGTACCACGTGTTTGATTTTACGATGAACGTTGAATTATTCAATTTTTTTCAAATTCAAATTCATTTAATTTCCGACAACAAAGATCCATAGGTTAGTATTACATTATCGCTTATAAACTAAGTGTTAGTACTTATAAAAAATTAAATTAAATTATATTATATTATATTAGAATTAAATTACATTAAACTAAAATCATATTCATTCAAATTAGATCAAATCAAATCAAAATAAAATTAGATTAAATTAAATTCTAATTTGTCATGTACCTGAGAGGCACTCCGTGCGATCGACACCTAGAAGAATTACCATCCACTGTATGAGTCATCGTTCGCACGAAGTGCCTCACAATAGGCGCATGCGGATCATCTGCCACCGTTCTCAGGATGCTATTGTCACTTCTCCGTATCCTTCCTATCAGCGACGCTACTTTTTTCCGAACTACGGCATGAAAACCATCAGTTCTGGTCTGTGCAAACATGCCAGAAGCACTACAGAAGCGGGGGAGTGCCAACATCATCCTGAAAACGTTATTGTACTGGACTCGCAGGGTGTTTAACGATTTTTTGTCATACCTAATCCACAGACCACCCGTGTACAGACCCTGGCAATACGCTTTCAATAATGTTATCTTGACCTGGTCCGAACAGCGGGCAAATCTACAAGCCAGCATATTGCCGCGCACCGCCAAAGCCCTACGCCCTCTCTCTATGTCTAGATCATCCTTAAGGTCGTCGGCAAGAATATGCCCTAGGTATTTAAACTGATAAACCCGCTTTAGTTCCGATCCATTTAAGTTTATTGCAGGGATGGATTCCGGACATCTGCAGGCGACCCTAAAGACCATGTATTCACTTTTTTCAATGTTGTATACGAGACCATGTGAGGCAGCGTAAGTTTCGCAGACCTTCAACATCTTTCTTATCGCATTCGCAGTGGGACTCAGCAACACCATGTCATTCGCATAGCTGATGCTATTGATACTAACACCACCCACACGGCATCCAACACGCATGCTACTGAGCTCCACCAAGAGATCGTTAACATACAGGTTGAAGAGCTTCGGAGACGATAACCCTCCCTGCCTCACTCCGCACTCCAATCTGTACGACTCGGAGAGACTGTTTGACTGAAGAGGCTTAATGAATACATATCCATATCGTCCTGGGGGTGTTGTAAGAGGTGGCAAAGGGAAACAAACCATGAGATGTGGTCTTCCTAATAACAACTAAAAAATTAAAACCACGGTTGCCAATCCGCCTGTCCAGCATGGCAACTGTAGCGTATCCCTCGGAGGATACGCTACAGTTGCTACGCTACAGGATGGATTGCCTCCGGAGGCAATCCATGGGGGAAAGCCTTTATTCAGCAGTGGACTTTGATAGGACAGTTACGGTAACATAATGTAAAATATTTATTTACTTTAACAGCTTTAATTTTTGTCGTCCAGGGTGGCAAAGCTTTTAAATTTTAATTCTTAATCGAGACTAGACCTTTATTCTATCAATACAAATAAATAAAATTGAAGTGTCTGTTTGTAATGTCAAAATAACAGCTTTTTACTAAATACATATGAAAGTGTATACGGTACTTAAATAAAAACACAATTTTTAAAATTTTATGTCTGTCTGTTTGTTCCGGCTAATCTCCGAAGTAGCTGAACCGATTTTGACGGGATTTTCACTGTCAGAAAGCTGATGTTATAAGGAGTAACTTAGGCTACTTTTATTTAAGAAAATGAATTAGGGTTCCGCGCAAAAAAAATTAAAACCCTAAATTGAACGCGGGCGAAGTCGCGGGGAACAGCTAGTCTTTTTACTAAATGCATATGAAAGTATATACGGTAGCAAAAACACGATTTTATAAATTTATGTCTATCTGTCTGTTTGTTCCGGCTAATCTCCAAAATGGTTGTACCGATTTAGACGGGACTTTCATTGGCAGATAGGTGATGTTATAAGGAATAACTTAGACTAATTTTATTTTAGAAAAAAATCAATTAGTTTCGCGCAAAAAAAAGAGCCTAAGAAATCCAACCGTAATAAATAAAAACCACGCGGACGAAGTCGCGGGGAGCAGCTAGTAATATGTCATGTAAAGATTATAAAGCGACAAAAAAAATTAATGTCATGATGGACCTATGACACTAATATAATAGCTGCCTTCCCGCGCTCCCACTGATTTGAAGCGCGGTTAACATTACGCGCCACTAGGACGTGCGGTCTATTTTTTTTATGACCATTTGTGGCAGGTTTCTGCCATTTTGGCAGGATTGGCCCCTTATTTTAGCCTCTGGCATGATCAGTTCATGTTTTATAAAACCTGGCAGTATTGGGGTATTAAAAATAGATTTCATTATGGCAACTTAAAATGACGAAAATGGCAACCCTAGATACTTCGCCAGCATGTTGGGGATTTCCTTGTATTTCTCGATTTCTCGTATTATGTTTGTATCACATTCAATAAACAACTTTAAAAAAAATTGTGTATAAAATTGATAATCTTAAAACGAATTAACACGAATTGGTTAATATTTCAATCAGTCATAAAAGAGACGTACTTTAGTTTGGTAATTGATATCGTATTAGATTTCATGGTGATAACATCTTGTTAATAATATTTCGTGGACGATAGTAATTATAGGTAGCGGTGATGAAGCGAAAATATGAAAGGGCGTAGTGGGAGCAAGACCTTTTACTTTCATCATGGATCTCCAAAGCTAAAGATGATCCAGACTGTGTAACTGCAAATTGGCACGCCGGCTGTAAAGGAGCATGCCGCTACTAGTAAACATCAAAAAAATATGAGTGGATTCAACATGCGAAAGAATATTTTCTCAAATTATTTAATTAACACAAAAACACAAAACAGATTTTTAAATAAACATGTACTGTCTATCTTGTACGTTTAACAAGGTATTGGTAAGCATGGCGATGGCATTGCATTCAAACCAATGAAAGATATGTTAAATTTTTATTAAGAAAATATATAGCAATTATATGTGTATTTTTACTTTTCTTAGTTTAATACAATGTTAAATAGATTTGGCAGTATTTAGGCATTTTTCACTACAGACTGGCAGGATTTGGCAGGTTTTTAACCAAAGTAAGGCAGGATCTGTATTTTAAAGATGGTCACTCTGCTATACACAATAGGCGCCCAATAGGAGTTTTGGCGGGAACTTGACCAGCGGCGGTTTGCTGCTCCTGTATTATTGTTTAAATAATGGTTTGAAGTGGACTTTGATATGTAAAAGTGGTGCGATTTTGTGTATTAAGTGTCTGCGCATGTGAACTATTAGTGGAAACTGTGAAACAAGTGCTCTGATGGTGATGTGATTCTCAAAATAAGGTGTCTGTTTGCTTAGGCGCCTTGAGATACCATCGCCAATCGTCAGCTGTCTGCTGGCTCAAGTTGCCGACAAAATTTCCCAAGGGCTGCACAATGTGACGCATCAACATATTGTGAAGCAGTATACTATGAAGGAGTAGGGAAATTACAATAATCCGAATAAAAATACTTAAGACTTGGCCTAAAGGTCTAGATACCAGGCCATAAACTCCAAAAATAAAATAGGCGCCCAATACTAAACGGCACTC